AAAGACTTGACACACATGACATTGATCACCACTCAGTGATCAATCAATTGTGACTCATGATGTATTTTCAATAGTGATTAGATTAATATTAAAAATAATACTGAATTCTACTTTGTTGAATCGAAAAACTGATCTGATTATAGTGTTATCTTAGATCCTATAAACCAAACCATTACTATATTAGTGGTGACTATCATATCGCATAATTCTTAACTAGGTCTAATTACTATTGCTTAATTTTTGGAATTTAGTTTTTTGAATTACCTGATCCAAAATAATATTTTTCATATAATAAATGGATTTGTGATTAACAGTAAAATATAGAACGAGCGTCTTCTCTTATTCTAGACTCGTCAGCTGGATATATCTGTACTTGTGTCAAATATTTACACTGAGACTCGAACCTACTATCTTTTCACTTCAAAGACTGATCATAATGTATTTAGGATTATCAAATAAGGGAAATTTCGAGTCTACTTTAACAAGTATAAGGACATCGTACTCGTTGCACAAGTGTGTGACTGGCTATCTGGACTCAGTAGCTCAGTGAATTATGCGTTGGGATTTTGAAATGAAAAGTATTGGATTCAAGTCTCAGTATGAATATGAACACTGAGATACAGGCATATCGAGCTAATGAGTCTCAAATAAGATGAAACACTTCTCCAGGATTCCACTGCAAAAATGCCTGTATTAAGACAATCTGTACAGGATGTACAACTTCCAGTGAAAGCTGATCAAAATTCTGTCCAGATCACTAATGGTTGAATAATTCATATCCTCTCTAATAAGTATTTTTTATGTCGGATAGTTATTAGCAATAGGTAAAAGGTTCCAGATGTAGATTACTTGCCTACGGACACACAATCATTATCGTTGATATTTATTAAATCTACCTGAGGATTCATATCAAACTGTTTAATCAAGCACAAAATCCGAAATCTAAACAAAATATTTGTCTATATAACAGCACTACTATTAGTAGTGATGCATTTTACAAACGTTAATTCTGTATGTGTCTCTATGGTCTATAGGTGTCAAAATATGATTGAAGAAGAAACAATTCCTGCAGTAGTTATGTAAGAACTATTTAAAAATATATACAGTAAACTAAGTAACAGACAGAAGGTATATCAAGTAAGCAATGAGAGGAGGAAAATGAATATGAATAGCTTAGTTATTTAACAATTATATGATAAAAATATACGTTTACTATTAGTCCATAAAATGATCCCAAAGTTACCATTCATTGTGTTTGTCAGGACCTAACAGTAAACACTTAGAAAATTCACATAAACTAATGAAGATGTATTATAAGTAAAGGGGTAAGATTAAAAGAACCGAGATAAATTTTCAGTTAAATATTAACCAATAATAAAATAGTCTTTGTAACTAGGTAGTTTATAAGAAACATAACAGTTGGATTGCAAACGTAAACAGATTTTACACATTTAATGAATCTATTAAAGTATTTCACGGGTTAATCTGCCTGTGAAAAGATAAACTAATGACATAAATTCGTCTTTATAGATATAGATTATCGATCTCCTCAAATCTTTATAACGACCCAAACGGAGTTTCAAAAATCCGCATGTTGTTCTTGATTACGGCAATGTTTTAAAGGTATGAATTAGAAATTCACTGTCAGTGTTTTATCACAAACTGACATCAGCTATGATGCGAAAAATACTTTGTAACCATAGGAATGGATGAATGAATTTAGAGTAAAAATGCGAGAAGCTCTATCTGATTAGTTCGTCTAATAAAATATACTGCCACTAGGTTAATGCTCGTTTCAGAACTATTGAGGTTTATAGGAAGAAGTAAGTGTTACTGGAAAATTGAATGTTATATGTAATAAACAATGACAGAATTATTATTATTATTATTGTTATTATGAATGACTTTGTTTACTATTATATTTTTGGTACAATATAGAATTCTCAATACAAATTATTTCAACAGGTTTCCTTTTCTTATTTCTTGATCGATCCTGACGATAAATATTGAAATCTTGTAGTCATGCAATTGTCTAGTGAATCGGTAACTAGTATTCTTAAGTTGTAATTACATCACAATCGCGATATATGTTTAGACTTAATAGGAATTGAAGATAGTCCGCCTTGTTAATCAGTGATCGTCAGTTAGATGTTAGCAGTTCAGGAATCAACATCTGAATGATATTCATTCTTTTCAATGCATATTGTGAACCACCACGATGTCTCTGACTGTACAGCTAAAGGTCGTAAATTTCATGAATGACCCTGAATAAGTTATGCGATTAATAGACATAATAATGTGTTAAAACAAACAAAAACAGATAACTTGTTGAAATATCTAGATGGTAGGAAAAAGTAGTCCAGATATTCAAGTAGGCCACCAATAAATTGAACATCCAATACGTTCAATATTAACATTTTTACTTTATAGTGCCAAAAAGTAATTCTTCCCAATCGTTTGAAATGTTTTGAAAAATGTAAAGAGGTATTTCTAGTACTCGTTACAAACTGTATAGGAATTTCAGGCAAAGACCTCATAGTTCAGTCCTCGTTATTCATTGGCTCGTCTCTATATTGTACATTTACCGGTTTTATTCTCAAAAATGATTTATAATTATATTCGTTACCAAATACCGTATAGTTAATAGTTAAGTGTTTAAGTACCAAACATTATTTGTAGCTCCCGATGTATTTCTATAACTATCCAGTGGGTAATATTGATGGCACCTGTCCTCTTATCAACAAACTGAACACCCAGTCAGACACAACATGTTTTAAATATACGGACTCATTTTAAATCTGATTACTAGTAAGTGTGCATTTACTAACTTGCTGGATAGTTTGTGGATAAAATAGATTACTTCATTGATTAAAACAATAACTCACAGAGGATATTGAATATTGATGCTATTATAGTGTATGATACTGATGTCGACAGATAAAAGTGGTATGTATCATCAGTAAAAAGTGAAATGTCTGGCTGCAGAAAGTTGAGAAAATCGAAGAGAAGAGAACGAGAACAGAAAGTGAGTGGTATGGAAACGAAGGAACAACAAAGTCTGATGGATATTTGATGGAGTTTTATCCTCTGAGCTGGATGGTCTGGTCGTGGAACTTTCTCATCGTTATTCTGAACTACGTCATCAACACAAACTTCATGTAGAAGTGAAGTGTCCATCCACCTGAGCTAAAAATCTTCTCCACCATCTCGAAGTATTCACTCTACGGTTCTCAGATTTTACCAAGAAATTCTGTAATATTGTATTAAAGTACATTTGGTTGTCCCCGCCTGTGTTCTCGTTCACTACATTATTACTAGAATTATCTAAAGTTGGAAATATAGACAATGAAATCTCAACTTACTGATCTAAAAGTAACATCTTTACTTAAAGACCAGAAAATCTTCAGCTCAACTCCGTATAGAATTGTGAATGGTTACAATTAAAAAGATCTTAAACTAGAACGAAACAACGGAACAGTAGATTTTTTAGTTTCCTTTGTTTCTTCAGAGAAACTCAACTTGTAACAAAATTTAATTTTAACTCTAGAAATTTCTTTTTTATAATGATACAACCATAATTATTGAACTTATCACAAAACAATTACTACTTTCTTTTAAATTTAAGCATTAATAAAAGTTCAAGATAGATGAAGATAATCAATTTAAAAAGTACACACTCATCACGTGATATGAATGATAAAAACTTATTTTCTACCTGATATTTGTTACCTTAGTTACTAGAAAAACCAATACAATAATGGTATTCAGATCACATTACCATTTATATTGATTAATTCCTAGTGAATTCTGTTTTAATAATTGGATTTATAAGTCAACGTAAGCTAGACCATCAACAAAAACCTGGAAACATTGGACGGCTGTTTCTTCATAGTACGGGACTCCTCATCAACACGCATCAATGATCCTGCCCACAGGACTCGAATCCGGGACCATTGGTCTTTCTTGCGACTGCTTAACCTCTAGACCACTGAGCCGGCATCCAATAGTATTAATGTCTAACTTCAATAGATCCATGATCTTGCGAAGCCCTTCATTTGTTGTTTGAAGTAAGTAACTCTCTCAATACTAAGAAGAAACGGCCATCCTGTGTTTCCAGGTTTTCGTTGATGGTCTAGCTTATATCGACCCATGAATTCAACTATTAGATTTACTACAATCTCAACGAGCCATTATTCTAATTCTGTTTTAATTTGAAGTTTTATGAGTAAAACTATTCTTGTAAAAGATATTAGGTAAAATGATCAATCAATAATTTATTGAATAGTTTACAAATAAATATCATTACAACAGTATATCTCTAAGTTAAGATTATACTTGGAATGTGTACTGTGATTTTTATTATTCATCTGAACTACTCAGTAGAAGTGCTTGACAATAGTACTGAATAAGCATTCCAAGTTTATGAGGGATATTGCATAAGATTGTAAATATGCATGGATATAAAAAACAATAAGGTTTAGTCTGATAAGAATCTAATTGTAAATGGTTGAGTCACAATAAAACCTTTGCGAGGCTGATCTATGTCAGTTTGAAGTGATGTGAGTTCCTAGATCTTGTTGTGATAATACTGATAGCCGCTTCTCTGGTACTGTGTACACTAAGGAACGATTAACTAAGTAAACGTCATCTATTCTTTAGCCATTGATTAGAACCAGTATGGCCACCTTCATGGCGTAAATAATGTAGTTATATTTTTTTAAGTAGGTTTAGAAGTTCCTATGGTGTGACGTTTTCTTTTTGAATGCCTCTGAACGAAACTGAAAATATGGAACTAGAATTCCATCCACTTTGTTAAAACAAGAAATCAAACGTCATAGGATATTTCTATGAATACAATACAGAATACTAGTTTAATTTTATCTACGAAAATCTTAAACTGTGAAGGTTGTTTGTCTTTTTCCATTGGTTTATTTAACCAGTCCTAAATACTATCTTTTGTATTTATTTTAACCAATAACTGATCATACGAATGACCTTGTAAAACAAATCAATTTATTATTAGTTAAGTCTTAAGAGCTCTCATTTTAATCGAATCACCTTGATAGATGGATCCGAATCTTTCAGATCTTTCAGCATGGAACATACGTAATCCCCAGCAACCTAATCCAGGTTATCCTGATATGTCTTCTGTAGGTTATCCGGGAATAACTCCAGGAGGATATCCAGGATATCCTGATTCGTCTGGGGGTTTATCGAGTTCAAACACAAGTACATATCCAGGAATGTCATCTGGAGGATATTCTGACCTACCGTCAGGAGGTTTCGCAAATTTAAACACAACTGCATATCCAGCACCTATAATGGGTGGGTTCGATGGACAGTCAGGAGCAAATTTCAATAATACACCTTTCGGTGCTCCTAGTGGTTATCCCGATCAGCGTTTGAACAACCCAACTGCTCCATTTTCAAGCCAACAAGGTTATACAAATCCTTCTTATGGCAATAATCCATCTGCTACATCATATCTACCAGGTACAACCTCATTCAATATCGATTATGCACGTCAAATGCAAAGTCCTTATATTTCTGGGAATCCCAATTCACAAAATCTCCACACAAATTATTGCCCAACTATACCACCATCAGGTGGAAGTTCATTTGGTAGCCACCCAGTGAACACGAATCAAGGATCTGTATATCCGATGTTTAACGATTTCCCTACTCCGATTTCATCTCAGTCGAATGAATTTTCTGTCTCTTCCAGAGTTTACGGGTTTGCTGAATCAGCTCCACACGAAGATATAGTATGTTGCCATTATTAATATTGTCATTGTTATTAGTTGAATAATTAGTTTCGTCCGAACAGCTCTCAAGTCATTTTCATTGACTGTTCAATGAATTATTTGTGCACATAACTTTTGAGTCACAATCCGAATTTATTTTACTTGTGTGGTGTATAGGTTACAAATATTTCCACTACTTTCCTCTTCATGACTTCATGGCCTATCGATTTGTGAATGTTGGTGGATTTCATGAATTTCATGGCCTTCTTTCCCATATCTTTTAATTTGATGAGATTTTATTTAAGTGAGTGGATTGGTCGAGTGAGCAATTGGTCGACTTAGATAATCTGAAAATACGAACATCATTGTGGGAGATATTTTTATGAACAGACATAATGTACGACGCAAAGCTCCCATAATACCTCAACATATATCCAGTCACTTCTTAGTTGATGTAGTTTGAAGAATTCGGCGTGTTTTTTTTTTCAATTAAGGCAGTAAATTATCATAACTCAGACAAATGTTGGTAGGTATTTCAGTCTATTTATTAATTTTGTATAAATTCTTCAATATAGGCATGTCGTTACAAACATACTAGACTGCTGTTGAGTAATGCTGAGTTGTCAGATAGTCGTCACATGTGTTTACAGAGTAGTTTCGAATTTATTTTTATCACATAATGCGATATTAATCACGGCTGTTCTAATGTGATAGATAATTAGAAGCATTCGAATTGGTTTGCTAACTAGGAATTCGCGAAATAGTGCAATTTAAGACAGGTGGAACCAGATGAGCATAACTGGATGTATTACATTAGTAATTCGTAACGAGCGCGCAATCAAGTACAAATGAATCATCGGTTAGTACAAACACCAATTCTAATTATGATCAGTCGACTGAGATCACCTGAATTATCTAGATTGGATATTGTAGGCTATCGAAATTATCACTAATTTATATTGTTGGGTTATTTATTGTGAATGTGAATAAGATTGTTTGTATTATATGATTGTCAAAAGTTTACCTCAACTGTTATGTAGTTGTGTAGTTGTTAACATGGAAGTAACATTAAAAGACACATTTCTTCATACTATCTATCCATCTCGTCACTTTTTCTGTATTTTAAAATCATTACCATTTGTACATCTTAGAAGTGAGAGAAGGTCTTCAGCAGATTATAATGTTAGCAAGAGTTTTTGAGATGATTATTTTATTCAATTCCACATGACCAGTGAGTTGAATTTGCGTATATACTGTACAATCATTTGAATGAATGTGAGGAACAAAAGGAAAAGTAAACGATTTTTAATCTCTAGAACGATTGATGAATATAGGGATCTATCGAACCCTACTGGTGAATTATAAATTCCTGTTACCGTTATAGGCTTTTTCTGTCATAAAATCTATTCACTGGTATACTATTATTTTCGGTGAATTCACATTATTCTGGTGTTATTTCGTTTTAATTTGTCAGTCATTAATTTAAGTAAGCAATAAATGTTCAGTAAACACCAACAACGCTGCAAATAATTTTACAGCTTACCTATTTATTGATATCGAATCAATTAATTTTAGATGGAGCCAACTTTAAAAGCAGCACCTAATTTTTGTGTTGAACGAGACTGTGAACGTTTAAAAAAGGCTATGGCCGGATTAGGAGCAAATGAAAAAGAGGTCATCGAAGTAATGGGTCATCGATCTGTTGATCAACGTGTAGCAATCGTACAAAAATATAAATCAATGTATGGAAAAGATTTATTTGCCAAATTTAAATCTGAATTACATGGTCACTTAGAAGACTGTGTGATCGCGTTGTGTTACTCACCAGCGGAATTTGATGCTATTGAACTTCGTAGAGCAATGAGAGGAGCTGGTACTGATGAAGATGCACTGATTGAAATTCTTTGTTCAAGGACAAATGAGCAAATCAGAAGAATTAAGGATATTTATCCAAAATGTAAGTTATTAGTTTATAAAATCATCACATATATTTTATATTTATTCTTAAAATTAAGACTGTTGTGAACTACTGAACATGGTCAGTAGATGAAAGAAAGGTTTACTGTGATTAATTTTTAATTATTCAAAAATTATTTGCTATTTTCCGGTGTATTTGATCCTATTTATGAAAATACTTAGAGAATATAAACTTGGATCATCTAAAGAATCATTGAAATATAAGGAGTCACCTGGATTTTTGCACGTTACAACTCATCATTATTTACATCCCTTGTATTTTCAATGCCCTTCCTAGGATCCCTGTCTTAGATAATAATTTATCTTTACTAAAATTTGTAAATAAAGTTCAATATCACTTATGTCCATAGAGAGTGATGAAGTGTAGCACTGAATATCAACAATGGGAAAATACATACTCTTATAAATCCTATAGTTCCGTTATATTCACTTTCCTTATTAATGTTTACATCCAACCTTATAGCATTGGAAAAACAAGTTTTGCCTAAAGAAATTGTCTAGTACGAACCATTAGTTTTTACTCCTGTTATAAACATGGTTTAGAGTAATTGAAAAATGGCTACCACCCCTGGGTGGGCTCGAACCACCAACCTTTCGGTTAACAGCTGAATGCGCTAACCGGTTGAGTTAGACATTAACACCGTTGGATGCCGACCAGCACAGTGGTCTAGTGGTTAAGCGTTTGTGTGCAAGACTGATAGGTCCCGGGTTCGAATCTTGTGGGGTGGAGGCGGGATTGTGTATGCGCCCTGCTGAGGAGTCCCACAATAGGACAAAACGGACGTCCAGTGATTCCAGGTTTTCCGTGATGGTCTAGCTTCAACTGACTCATGATCTCGACTATTAAAATTACTATAATATCTACAAAATCCCCTTCAGATACGAATTGAGAAGTCTTAAATTGGAACAAAACAATTATTCAATGTTCCTTGATTCTCCTTTTGATATTAGTTTGTGGGGAAAACCAGTTTCACACTGTGAGCATCTCTTCATCTTTTGTAAGCTTATTGACATACTTCTCAAGCGTCGGTACGACCAATCTAACACACTATATAAAGTTTTGGGAATAACTAATAATGACTATACAATATTATATATATATATATATATATATATATAGTACGTAGAATAGAGCTATTCATGTGACCTCATTGTGTCATGGTTATTAAATCTTAATCTCCAATCAGTGTTACATATACATAACTTTGTACTTTGTATTATCGATCGGCAATTACATTTTTGTCAAATCATCTATTTAGTGTTCAATTTCATAAAAACCAATCATATTAACTAACAACTTAGATAAACTCATAATATTGAATAAACTTAATGTTGAAATAGTATGAAGGTCACTTATTTTATATCTACTAAATAAAGGGTAATGAATGTTTAATGGTAATGCGCTAACAATAGTCCATCTTCTAGATAAAGGTGCTTGAATGTTACCTACCTTTCATTCAAAATATTTTTTTTAAAAAAAAGCTATAATTTCTTTCAGACACTCAAATAATTTATAGCAAATTAATGTACTCAGAGAGGGGTTTTGTGGGGATTTTTAGAAATTTCAATCGTTGAAATCATGAGTCAATTGAAGCTAGACAACCATGGAAAACCTGGAATCACTGGACGGCTGTTTCATCTTAGTATGGGACTCCTTAGCAGTGCGCATTCACGATCAATATGCAATAGAATGAATACTAACTACTACGTTCAAATTGATGTGTACTAATAAAAGGACAGATTTATTGAGTGTGTACATAGATTGGGAGTAATATCGATTGATGAGGTGAATAAATCTTGCTACTTCCTTAAATCGTGGCTTATTTAGTAGTTACAACAAATTTAAGTCCTAATATGACATTTCTGGGTGAATAACAGAAATATTGGACAATTGTTCTGTGTGAACATTCTCTGACCTTGTTATACTTAGCTTTTCTACTGACTTATACTAATCACAACCATAAAACTTTTCGGATATAAATAATAAATATATTTTCATGATGTATGACTGTTTGAAGTGGGATGGCTTATTGATTCTCATTCGATATTGATAATTCAAAGCATTTCACTGGATATTAGGTACACCTACCTATGCATATAAACTTTAATTAGCATACATTTATTTATTTGAACTTCGTAGATTAGTGAAACCATAGTAATTCTTGAATTTTTGTCATTTACGCAGTGGATTTTTGTCAATCTTTATTTGTGTTATGTTTGACATTCTTACGACTGCGAAATACTTGACTGAATTGTGCTTGACCCTGAATCCGACGATGCGTAGTGAAAACCAAAGACTGTTGATAGTGATTTATTTGATTCATAAATGATAAGTGAATACACCACTTTTATATTATTCGCTTACAGTTAGACTTGTGTAAATTGAACTGTGCAGTATTTAACACTGATTAATATGGCATTTATACGAACTAATGATTCCTTTGTACTTGATTGCGCGCTTATTACGAATTACAAATATAATATGTTCATTTGTGCCCATCTAGTTCGATCTGACTTAAATTGCAATATTTCGGGAAATCGTAGTTACCACATTAATTCGAATACTTTTAATTATCACAATTAATCAATAACTTATTATATGAATACTCATTTGGAATATCATTCTGATCGGTTTCACACCGACTAAACTTTGTTCATTTAATTGTCTTACCAATTTGTCTATTTTCCACGTTTATCCACAAAGCAAACATGAGCTGCTTAAATTCCCTTGTAAGAATTAATGATACTACTCGTCTACGAATATCAAAGCGAAGTGGAAGTTAATATCTCAACCACCAAGTCACTGCTTTACAATGAGTTCGGTATGTATATGATCTATTTATCTGATTTATCGTTAATCCTTCAAAAGGCTTCTCATATTGATACCACTCCTTGATGAACTTGAGATATGTATAATCCGTTTAACGGATTTATTGTTAATTATTCTGTCGTCCTGCCGGAGACGTGGCTTTGCACTTTAGAGGCGTCCCAGTGATTCTTAGATTTCAATTACTATTTTATTTAGGTCAGTCAGTCGTGTAAACTATAAATTGTTTCTTCTCTTAAAACTACTAGCTAAATTTTTTTTATATAATTTTAGTGCTAAATGGACGTAACTTAGAGAAAGATGTTGATAATGAAACTACACATCATTTTAAACGTATATGTATTGCTTTGCTGCAAGCAAATAGAGATGAATCTACATTTGTAGATACGAATCTTGTACGGAGAGATGCGGAAGATCTATATAGAGCAGGGGAGCAAAAAATAGGAACAGACGAATCAAAGTAAGTGTATTATTTTCTAAGTCAGTATCAGTATAATGAAATGATCTTATAAATTTTCAGTATTCTGAATTGAGAAAAAGAATTAACTGACATAAATAGGATTCTTATACCATTGTATATGTAATTGTGACCACTCACAATTATAAATCAGAGTTCATTTTAATTGAATTTGACTTTATGTAACTGAAAGCACGCTCTAATCATTATTGATTTGTGATATAAAAGAGAATTATAACGGGATTAATGTTGATAAGTCTTGTTGATTGAACGCTATATTCGTTTCCTAAGCTATTCTGGTAACCCGCAAGCTAGAACTACACAGCGACCCGAACACCAGAGAGAAGACACAAAGTATGAGAGAAATGCTTTACTCCAAGGTTCACTTTTGTACAGAAAAACACGGGTATTTATAGATATTAACATTTGTTAAATCAACACCATATTTCGGCCAATCCGTTAACGACATATTATGCTACTGATTATTAGTAACACGCCACGCTGGAATTCTGGAAAGCTCCATCATGCTCTGACTGGCTAGGACTCTTCGGCTCCTTTTGGGCCTCTGGAGGCTCCGTTGAAGTTCTCGGAAAGCCGACTAAACACCTCCCCCGAGTAAGATTTTTCCTAGGATCTACTTGTAGCCTGACAACTGGGTTTCGGCGGCGTCTCATTATTCTTGTCGTGTCCCTTGTCCAAGGCTTCTTTTCGGTGTGCTTGGGTATGTGTAGCATTGGTGTATCTAAGATTAACTCTAACGGAAAATTCGGCCGGTTATTTCGAGAAAGCATCGTTATTTTGTCCTTATAGATTTATGTGTCGTGTACATGTTCCAAAAGTTCCTCGGACTCTGTACAGTACTTTTCCCAATTTTTGTACATCTTCTCCTGGCTCCCATCGGTTCTTCCCGATGTAGGATTTAATGAAAACTTTGTCGCCAACATTGAAGTTCCGGATATTTGGATTGTGATTGCGCTCATTCACTAATTTGGATGACAACATGGCGTTGAAGACAGTTCGAATACGCCTTCAGAACATGGCTTCACCAAGAGACTTCCCATCTGGAACATTCGGGTTTGGGTGGATCTGTGGGATGTTAAAAATTTTGTGATTATCTGTCCAGTCTTCCCTTTGCCTCCCCCTTTCAGTAATGCTCGTTTAAAGGTGTCCACAAAGCGTTCTGCTTGTCCGTTTGATTGCCGATGATAGGGTGGAGAACGAAGATGAGTTATTCCGTTTGCTCTACAGAAATGCTTAAACGATTCTGCGGCGAATGCGAGCCGTTATCCGTTACTAAGATCTCTGGAACACCGAAGCAGCTAAACAGCGTAGACAACTCGTGGATTGTTTCTGATGTTGTACAATTTAGCATGGTATATACTTCCGGCCATTTAGTAAATGCATCTACGATGATTAGAAACATTTTTCCTTGGATTGGACCAGCAAAATCTGCGTTAAGTCTTACCCAGAGTCCTGCAGGCTGAAGATGGCACATTCATTCAATGTTTGACAACGCTTTCACCAGTAACACCTAATATAACTCGTACCCACCAACAGAAATCAAAAGACAGAATCGAGGAGATCGGAAGAGTGTATTTGGCGATAACCAATATATCGGAATTCTCTGATCTAATCTGGCTAGCGATTGAGGTAGATGTTGAGCATGGCGTTCCCACACGTGATCTGGTGCGGATGCCTGACCGAGAGCCCTCAGCTAGGTGAGTCCACTAAAACTAATCCGGCCAGCATCCAATGTCGAAAACTTACAGAGCTACTTATTTTGGGGATTTATTTACCGCCACAAGGCGTTGGCCAATACTGAGGTTCGCATTTCAAAGGATTTTTAGCGGCTTGAATGCATGATGGACAGTTATGGCATTTATTCTCGATATCTTTGTCCATTAACTACGAGCCAACGATTTCATTTTATTGATTCCAGGATGGTCACTGTGAAACTACTTGAGAACCTTGTGACGTAATAACTTTGGAATAACAATTCGATCACCGAACACAATACACGAGTCGACAACCATTAGTGAGTCCTGTCGACGAAAATATTGCAAAATTTCCCTGTCAAGGCGATTGTCTGGCCATTCGGTCGAGAGATAGCGTTTAACTGTGCTCAATGTCTTATCACTTTCAGTGATCTTCTTGACAGTTTCAAAAGTTACCGGGAGTTCACTGATTGCATCACCCAACACGCGATGAACTTCTTTCTCAGCTTTTATATTTGCTACAAGAGTTAGCAGATCTTTGCTTTCATCAGATACCGGAATTTGTAGATACGCGTCTGATAAATCCAATTTCGCAAAAAACCTGCCACCGTTCAGCTTAATGGAAAGATCTTCCGGTAGGGGTAACGGATACTGGTGAGACTCTATAGCTTCTTTTAATCCCGTTGAGTAGTCTGCACATAGACGGACGCTTCCATTCGACTTCGTGACCAACACCCATTTCCTGAAGTCGTTGTAATTCTTGTTCAACTATTGGAAGAGCAGCATACGGTACAGGTCTTTTGGGTCGAAAGACGGGAGTAGCTGCAAGTTTTAGGGTTAACAATGCTTTGGCCTTCGTACAATCCCCCAATCCTTCTTTAAACACGTTTTGGTGTCTTTGTAGCACGGAGTTTCTAAGGCTCCACTCTAAGGTGTTGTCAGTTCTGATTCGTCTTCAGATGCTGTTAGAAGAATGGTCTGCTAGTTTAAGTGTTTCTATAAGACCTACCCCCATTAAGTCGAGTGCTGGCTTCTTTGTAAGATATACTGTTGCATTCGTTGTTACAGTACCTTTAGAAACAGTGCATTGCACTGTGTGCCAGTTGTATTGTTGGGAAAACTGTGGGTCTTCCAATTTTCTTCCAAGTTTCTGGGCTGATTAAGGTGATATCGGAAGCTGTATCAAGCTGAAGGCGAGTACGGTGTTTATCAATATTTAAGGCTACGTACTTTCTTTGGCGGCAATTTCGTGTTTGATTATGTGATACCAATATTCCTTTTGTTAATACGCCAGACCTGTATTTCTCGAAGTAGGGTTTTGCAGAATATCGTTTATGGTTTTTTTTTTCTGAAGCTGGTTTCTATATGACCCTTCCGATGACACTGCAACAATGTTCTTTATACGGGCAGAACCTTTTATAGTGTAATTCTCTACATGACCAGCATGGAGATGATGGTTTGTGGCTGTCATTACGATAATTCTGCGTGCTGGAACCTTGTGATACTATTCTCTCGACTGCATTGACGTTAGGGAAACGGTTACCGTTCTCTACCATTGAGGTATCATGCTTCAAGTTCACTAACCTTTGGGTCTAAACTGAACATCCCAGCTGTTGTACGGAAGTCAACTGGTGATCTGGTCGCACAGTCTACCCCCGATAACGTCCGTCTGGTCATCAAAGAGCCAAGGATTCATAAACGTGCTTCGACCCCCAAACAACAAGGTGCTAAACCTGCAGATGCGTTCATGAACGCACCGGAAAACCTGGGATAACAATAACGGTTCGTGATGACTCTCTCATTGTCATGAACTTCAAAGACAATCCTGACCTTCCTCTCAGTTTGCAGGACAAATATGATAGGATGCTCTGGGGAGAATTGAACAAGAATACAGCCTTTGACAGTCACACGGCTCACTCGGGGAAAGGAATCTAAGCATCAAAATCACCCGAGTCTACTTCGTGTAACACTTAAGAATGCTACCGACGTAGAGGATGTCTTACTAGCGAGTCATTTACTGAAATCAGATGGGAATGTAAGAATACTGCCTGATATATCGTATTCTGAGCGCAATCTCACCCAGAACATCCACAAAGAATCTCACGATCAGTTTTTCCGCGGGAGGAATATAACCGTGCAAGGTATACCGGAAAATACGGACCCTACTCAATCAAAGACTGACATCAGGGAATGGAAATTCATCAAACAGTCCTTGAGGCTCAAAAACATACTGACTCAGCATGTGACGAGACTAGCCAAGAAGGACGGTGATTCTAGACCCCGTCTAACGAAGATAACCTTCCCATCTTCACACATGGCGGCCGCAACCCTGGAAGCATTTCGTGTCAACAGACGTCGGTTGCCAACTGGAATCCACATGCACCCGGATAGGCTATACAAAGCTAAGACCAAACACAAAGGCAAGTTGGAGCTGACCATTCCACTTGTGGACTGTCTAGACGATAAAAAAACGTGTAAAAGACAGGGCCTACCACCTCGGCGAACCTCATATAAGTGGGCTACCTGTCCATTCACGTAAGGCTCATACAGAAAAACAGGACGGAGCTCACGCGTTCCAAATTGAAAGCATAAACTGCTTATATATGAACGCCGCGAGTCTACCAAACAAATTGGATGAATTACGTGAACTTAGCAACGCTAATGAGGTTATAGCGACTCACTTGCAAATGGGTTTATTTTCATTTAACCCAGTCAAGCCCTTTTTGTTAACTTATTTAGCGGACAAAGCCATCCGCGCTATAACAATTTATTGTATCCTTATTATTATTTTGCGCTTGTATGAAATACGTATGCTTGAATATTGATTACTGCCTACGCATTTATTCACTCTGCTAGTCTTACCACTAACCGCTTATTCGATTCGATTACTCATTCATTTCACATGGTATATATATGTCCATGTTATTCATTTTGAACGCTCAATCATTCACTCGCTCACACGGTCTCGTCACGCTCTTGCTCTGGCTCTCGCTCGCTTGCTTGCCTTTCGGCACAACTCTTCTATGCTTGTTTAACACATCTGTACATTTGGATATATGTGTGTGGTCTCGCAATAAACGTAATCAACACTTCGTATTTGCCTTCTGATTAATATACCGTTGGTACGTTATATAGAACGGTTATCACGACGAACTGTATACGAAGTTTAAGGATTATATCGAATACCGACCACCACATAATTGGCGACCCCGACGGGACTCGAACCCCCAATCTTCTAGTGAATACGTGAGAGCTGTTATGTAGTTCCTGTGGTATGAATACTCGTCG